TTCGGAGTATCATCGCCAGTGTTGATTGTCGGTTGAGGAATTATGAGTGGAGTCGTGTCGTTCGATTGTACCGAAGGAAAATCGACGTAGATAGGATTTCCTTCTAAATACGCTGCTTTTAAGCGATCGATGCTGATGCTATCGTTGGTTCCGTTCTTATCGACTATATAGTACTTAGATTCACGTTGAAGAACTTTGAAAGGTCCTTCGTATGCTGATTCGAATGGTCGTCGATGCGAGTCTCGACGAACGAAAACGTGTGTACTATATCGTAAGTCAGGTTGAACGAAAACATCAGTTGATTGAGGTCGAGTGGAAGCAGGTTTAACTGAACGCATTGCGTTTGTAAGCCTGTTCGTGTAGGAGGTTAGATCCATGTTCATCGAAGAGCACGAAGGATCCACGAATTCTCCTGGAAGTCGAAGTGTCGTTCCATAAACGAGTTGAGCCGCAGTGTATCCAATGTCAGCTTTCACTGCATTGCGGATACCTAGTAAGACGAGTGGAAGAGCGTCGGTCCATTGTGAAACGTTTGCAGCTGATAGCGAAGCTTTCAGTTGTCGGTGAAAACGTTCTACCAACCCGTTTGCTTGTGGGTGGTAGGCGGTCGTTCGGAAGCGAGTGATTCCTAAAAGTGTGGTCAGACGACGGAAAAGATCAGATTCAAACTGACGTCCGCGGTCTGTAGTGATGGTTGAAGGGCAACCGAAGTTTGCTACCCATCGTTCGACGAATGTGCGGGCCACTGTTTCAGCAGTGATGTCCTTGATAGGTACTGCTTCTGGCCATCGAGTGAAACGGTCTACGCAGGTTAAGAGATAAGAGTATCCATTTGAATCTGGTAAAGGTCCTACCAAATCCAGATGAACATGGTCGAAACGAGCATCGGGAGTTTTAAACGAGCCTAAGGGACATTTATTGTGTCTGATAACCTTAGATTTTTGGCAGCTTACACAGGAGCGTGCCCACTCCCTCACGTCTTTATTCATGCCAGGCCAGCAAAATCGTTCTGCTATAAGCTTGATGGTTGCACGAACACCTGGATGAGAAAGTTTGTGCAATGTGTTGAAGACATTGCGTCGATAATGTTTCGGCACGATTGGGCGATCCCTACCTGTAGATGTGTCACAAAGTAAGGTTTCCTTACCTGTTCCCATCTGTTTGATGCGTAGTTTAAGTGTTGTGGACGATAACTCGTGCTGAAGATCAGTGTCTTCTTTTTGAAGCTCGGCGAGTTTAAGAAGGTCGATTCCTTGGAAACTGTTCAAGGAAGTTATGCGAGATAAAGCGTCTGCAACTACATTGTTTGCTCCAGAGATGTGTTGAATATCTGAAGTAAACTGCGAAATGTAGTCCAGTTGTCGAGACTCACGGGGAGAGTACTTGTCAGAAGGAGAGCTTAACGAGAAAGTGAGCGGTTTATGGTCCGTGAAAAGAGTGAATTCACGGCCTTCGATATAGTGTTGGAAATGCCGTACAGCACAATACATAGCTAGGAGTTCCCTACCGAATGTGCTGTACCTCGATTCGGTGTCTAGCAACCTTCTAGAGAAAAATGCCAAGGGTTGCCAGGAGTTGTTAACCCATTGTTGTAAGACTCCTCCGATTGCTGAGTCGGATGCGTCTACTGCGATGCTAATGGGTGCTCGGGTGTCCTGATGTGCGAGCATTGTTGCTTTAGCAATCAGTTCCTTAACTGTGGAGAATGCTTTTCGTGCGGTGTCGTCCAAATTAATGGATTTCGCATTTCCACGAAGTTGGTCGGTCAGAGGTTTCATAAGTAATGCGCATTGGGTATGAAACGTCTATAGAAACTTACCAGGCCGTTGAACGTGCGTAATTGCTTGACGGTGGTCGGTTCTGGGTAATCCAGAATGGCCGCCACTTTGGTTCTAAGGGGTCGGATACCTTGAGCATCGATAGTGTGTCCCAGAAAGTCTAACGAGTCGGTTCCAAATTGGCATTTCTGAACGTTTACAGTTATGCCATGTTTTTGTAATCGTTCGAAAACAAGATCCAGATGCTTGAGATGTGTTTCTCTGTCCGGACTTGCGATTAGACAGTCGTCAACATACGCGTGTACGAAGTTGAGACCTCGAAAAACGTCGTCTATGAATCTTTGGAATGTTTGAGCAGCATTCCTTAGACCGAAAGGCATTCGCAAAAATTCATAGAGTCCGAAGGGAGTTATGATAGCTGTTTTCGGTATGTCGTCAGTAGCCATAGGGATTTGGTTATACGCTTTAACCAAGTCGATTTTCGAAAAGACAGTTGTACCTTTCAAGGTAGCTGTCAAATCGTGAATGTGAGGCAACGGGTAACGATCGGGAATGGTTTTCGCGTTCAATCGCCGATAGTCACCAGTTGGACGCCAATCGTTGCTGTCCTTTTTAGGGACCATGTGCAACGGAGATGCATATGGGCTACTTGACGGTCGTATGATTCCTAAGTCCATCATGTGATCGAATTCGTTTTTCGCTAACCTTAGCTTTTCAGGAGCTAGTCGTCGTGCTTTAGAAAATACAGGTGGTCCTGTAGTCGTGATGTGATGTGTAACATTGCTGGTTACACACGGTAGTTTCGGTTGAGTTTGTTGTATCCCAGGGTACTTATCGAGTAGTGGTTGATAGAGTGGGTCTATCATATGTTTAACTGTGACTGGGGATACTCTACAACCAGTAAAAGAAGTTACGCAAACGGACAAATTAGTGTTTCCGTCTACTAGCCTCCGTTTGCGAGTGTCGATGATCAGATTGTGGTGTTGTAGAAGGTCCATACCAATGATTGGCATAGAAACATCTGCAACGACGAAAATCCAGTGGATGGGTTTGCGTAAACCCACGTTAAGGTAAACGTACCTTTTGCCATACGTAGCGATCGGTTTTCCGTTTGCCGCCTGTAAGTTTAGGGTCGATTCGTGAAGTCGGTCGTTAGGATTTGCTGGGAGAACGCTAACTTCTGCGCCAGTGTCGACGAGGTAGCGAACTCTCGTTGTCACATCTGTGACGAATAACAGACGGCTATGTTCGCCGGCTACGGTTGCCGTTAACGCGTGCCGGCTTGGAAGTTTCCCGAATTGTTTTTCGAGTCAGTCGGTTTCGTGTTGGGAAAATTGCAGGGTTTTCTGCAATTTCTGGAAAACTTTCCATACTGGTTATGATACCAGCACCAGTCGGGGTTATCTGTCTCTCGTGGTCTAGAGACAGATCGCTTACGAGAAATGCTTCTACGTGGGGTGCGCGATCTCTTACGGTCGGTACGAAGACTAAGATAACGCGTGAGTGTGTGACATAAGTCGGTTATGTCATTCTGAGTCGTGTGAGGCTTTTCTTTGACTGAAAATACCTCGGTAGTAGAAGATTTCGTAATTTCTAGAATGCGGTCGGCAGATGCAGCTAGCTCGTCTAAGGCGTTGTTCTGGAACGAGACCAGAACTGCTTGCACCTGTTGGGGAAGTTTTGACAAGAAGAGTTGTTTGAATAGACCTTCGTCGAAAGTTCTTGGGCCTATAACCTCTCTCATCCGTTGCAACATGTCCGTCGCAGAACCGTGTTGCAGGTCGATGTTATTGAAGAGTTGATCTAACCTTTGTCGATCGGTTAGGTCTCCTCGTTTGAGAATCGAGCGTTTTAAGATTTCGTAAGGTTCGGAAACATCACTAGTAAACATACTAGGTGTTACGTACCTGTTGAATTCGCGCGGTAGTGCCTTGACTACTGCGAGGAATTGTGCACGTGTGTCGATCACGCCGTGCTCGGAGAAGTCGGCTTCTGCGTAGCAAAACCAGGCTTCGATGTTGTCGGGCCAGAAAGGCATCAGTTGAAACGAAGGTGGGGACAAGGTCTTAAGCTTGAGTACTTTAGGTGTCTGTTCAGTCATGATGAAATATGAAGTACGATAATGAACGAGGGGAAAATATATATATATCCAAGAAAAAATACGAAAAAAATCACAATGTTTAAAAAAAATAAAAAATAAGGCAATGATATATAAAAATCCCAAAAAGGAACAGACTCACAGTTGCAATAAGGTGTACCAGATCACGACGGTCTCACCAATGATGATGTCACAGGTATTCAGTGTTTGACAACGCTTCTACCAGTAACACCTTCTAATATATTTCGTTCCCACCAAGAGAAATCAAAAGACAGAGTCGAGGAGATCGGAAGAGTATATTTGGCGATGACCAATATATCGGAATTCTCTGATCTAATCTGGCTAGCGATTGCGGTTGATGTTGAGCACGGCGTTACCACACGTGATCTGGTGCGGATGCCTGACCGAGCGCCTTCAGCTAGATGAGTCCACTAAAACATATGGTCAGCATCCAATGTCGAAAACTTACAGGGCTATTTATTTTGGGGATTTATTTACCGCTACAAGACTTCCAAGAGAAGCGGTCGACGCGCTCAACTACCTCATTCCCTATCATTAGTTCGGGTGTCGATGCAACCCAATCCTGAAGTAAAATGTTGCATTTCGAGGGAGAGAATCGCATGCCGAACATGCTTGGATTGTTGCTTATACTGGTCAGAAGACTTTGCATTTTGTCAGCGTCTTCGCCAAATAGAACTATATCATTAGGGTGATCTAATATTGGCTTATCGTATACTGAACGATGACCTTGGCATTTATATGTCTTACATTTCCCTTTCGTCTAGGACTGATCATTTGAGAGGACATTCGAAGAAAGTTCAAAAACCGAGATCAAATCGTTTATGTCCTGAGTTTCGTTTCTCACACTGAGTAATGAATTACTGGAATTCTCTACCGGAACACGTAATATCAACACCTTCTACTGGCATACTGAAAACGAGCTTGAACTTCCAAAGTGTTACAAACTGCAAGGACTAATATAAGTCGATAGATCTACCATTGTTATTACTGAAGGCTGAAGACTGAAATGTAACGTTAAAACGACCCGGCTTTTTGGTATGGATGTAACAGCGTGGGAACTCGAAAAAATAATCGTACGTTTGGTAATATCTTTTATGAGTATATCTGGCCTTAAAAACAATACAAATTTAAGAGACAGCTTGTTAAATAAATTATCTAAATGGTTAGATTTATTTGATAAGTTTGTATTCTATCCTGCAATGTGATTGGAGTTGAAATTTAATATTAAAAAAGTAAGAACAGAGAGTCCTTGAGTGATAGTAGGGTGGGATATTTTTTTTCCAGCTGATCACAGTGACCATCGAGCCTGACTCAATGTGACGATTCAATTTTACAAGTTGCATCGGTATGCTCCTAATTACTGGGTCTAAAACGTAGCCCGTAAATCAAAGCATCCGAGTTTCTCTTATTGGGTTGGTTCTCAACTATATTTCAGCAGCTTCATTATTAGTTGTCAAGAATCGTCGGCGAGACTATAATTTATAGACAAACCAATCAGATCTACAACAACAGGTCTGAAATTTTGGCGCGAAATTCATTCACTCATCTGGCTAAATAGAGTTTTGGCATTGTAACTGATGTCAGTTCGTAATGAAAACCCTAAATCTAAGTTCTCATTCTAACCATCAACTCTAAATCATAATCCTTGTTCTTTAAACTGCTTTATACCCTCATTTAGCCCTGGTAAGTAGGTAGGCACTAACAAGGTCACTTCTGTGTCGCTCAAAGATCGTCCATAAATTATAGTTTCACCGATATCTGTATACCATCCTGAAAACTGGGAATCTACGTAGCTACTGAGCTGCCTCAAGGTATTTCACACGGAACCTAAATGCTTCCAAAGTTCGTTATAGCTAACAATATTTTTGTGAAAACTATAAACCGGGGAGTCCGCGTGACTGTCCTAACCAATGGTTCGACACTCTTGGTGACATGGCTCGGAATCGATCACAATTGCATCGGTGTATGCACTGTCTGTCTTCCCTTAAACTAAGAGATTAAAATCGCTTCATATCTTTCTATGAACTAACTCTTTCTTCCTATACTATATCCTTATATGCAATCTTTCTTTTATTTATTATCACCATTGACTTAACCACCCCTGTGAATCCGGTGTTCATCTTGCTGTGCTAATGAGGTATGACAACTTGGACCGATGCATATATGTCTGGTCCTATGTTGTAGCTGACTGACTGGAAACTATAAACATTTGAGCAAATCATAGTTTACGAAAAGAAACCCAGTATACAGTAGGTCTTAAAAAAGCTCCGATGGACCAAAAAATGTACAGCAGGGATGTACTTAATCACATGTTCAGTTATCACAGCTCTAAAACTATAAATCGATAGTCATATGTTAAATCAAGTATTGTACTGTCTTTAAAAGACCTAGTCATTAATTATGTGAATTCTAGGGTTCGGCTACAAGTGAAAAGGTCAAATATGGAAAGCGGAAAGCGGAATACAGTCCTTTAGAGGAAAAGAACAAACGTTTAAAAGCTGAAAACTCGGTTTCAAACCATGAAAAGTTGTCGAAACTCCAGCTACAAAGTGTGCTATTGAAGAGCGCAAGCCTGCAACAAATGATTAATAAATCCTGTCATCTATGAAGAAATACAAGGCATTTTAGAACATCGTAATAAATGCACGTTGAAAATCCACGGACTCCCTGCCAAGACAACCATAAATGAATTGGAAAAAACTGGCTCCGGAAGCAAAAGCCTATCGTTTACCATGGATAACTCGTCTTTACCGATGCCATGGATTCGCCTTCCTGGAGTTCGAATCAGAGGAACAAGCCTTGATGCATAAAGAAAAACTTCACAAAAAACCTTATGGGAACAAAACTTTATTCGCCAGTGTTGGAAAGTTCATCTCAGAATGTATTGGTAAGATCGATATCTGAATTCGCATAATTATATGGGTATTCAGATGACTATGATTGCAAAATGCTTGTCCTTTATGGAGTAAATTACAATGTTAAGAAAGGTGAAATAGCAAGAAAATTTCCTTCTTCCACTAATATATCACTCGATAAAGCTAGTCACTTAAATGCTAGACATAAACCTGGCGTCGCTTACTTGACTTTTGCATCAGAAGAAGATGCTGTGAATGCCATAAAATGTAGGCAAGGTTGCTTATTAAGAGGTCGAAAAGTATCCGTCCTTTTCCACAAAAAACAACAAGAAAAAAGGTAAGCTTGTTTACTCCTAACTTTTCAAAATCACTGAAAGTAAGAATTGTCTTTTAGTTCGTGGCTTAAGTAAAAAGGTGAATAAAGATGATCTTCTGGCTGTATTTCCTCAAGCATCAACAGTTCATATTAATCACTTTCGTGGTGAAGCTCGAATTACGTATGATTTAGAGGAGGATTGTCTTTTGGACCAAAAACAAGCAAAAGATGTGTCGATCGGTGGTCGGAAAATCCAGGTTTTTTCGATTTCTGTTAAAAAAAAGGATACATCCCATTCATTACCTAAAACTGGACAGTCTGGGATTTCTAACGCAGATAAGGATGTACCATCAAGTATAGTAATAGATAGATCTACTCTGCCTTTATGTGAAGAAACCATTTTTAAGTTATTTCCAAAAGCAATTGACTTCTGCATACCCTCACAGTCAGTTTCTCAAAATAGGTAAGCTTATTTCCAATCCTCCGGATTTGTTTCTTTATCATGACATGATAATATAACCATTAGATTTTTTCAATGCTCTCTAATTTGGGTATATCTAGTTGTAATTTTACAAACCAAGTGAATAGGCAACTAGCGTTTTTATTTAGCAAAACTAGTTGTAACCCGTTGGATAGTGTTCACAATGGTCTCGGTCGATTACATTTTGTGACGTGGTAATTCCATAAACAAGTTACGTATCCAAAACATTTTCCAGTTGCGGGACCAACTAGGAACATTGGGTACATTAAGAGTTACTTCATCAACTGCGATGCTTGTGATTTCTTTCACAGTATGGTGCACTCGTTTCTCACTGCTTTGGTTTGGGTGCCCGAGGAGCATCCCAATCTTCACACGAATTAAATGATGGTGTGGCGCATATATATCTAGTGCCTTCTCATGCCAATGTTTATGCTTAAATAAAAAATAAACACATTAAGTTCTCGGTTTGCATTCAAATTTAAAGTTACTAGCACTTTTTCTACTATTATTTCTTTCAACGACAAACATTTCATACTGTCAGAATTTTTGAAAGCATAGGCATGATCCACTCTTGTTTTATCATATGCTGTTTTTCTCAAACTGATTTTAAATATCTCATCGATATATTAATGATATAACCTGAACAACCCTATTTGTCTGTGTTCATATTCAAGCTATTTCACAGTTCATAAAGTTTGTTTTTAATTAAGGTAGTAACACCTCTTCAAAGTTGTCAGTCTAGTTGAAGTTACAGAAGCTGTTGTCTCATTACATTTTGTCTTCATTTACAATCTTCTGAGTTTCAGAATAGCCGATAGTTAATTTAAAAAGGTTCATTAATCTGTGAAATAAAATTTCCTTCCTATTCTTTTGTTTTAAGTGTGGCGTGTGTTAAATTCGCCACTTTATCACAAGCTAAAAGAGCGATCAAATCATTAGATGGCAAATCAATGCGAGCTAGAATAGCCAATCCGAAAAGAATGAGACTTCTTGGCATTTCTAAAACGTTTACTACAGAGAAAAAGGATGGAACTAATATACCTCTTTTTCCTACTATGGTCGAGCATAATAAAACTAGTCAGGAAGTCAAACGAAACAAGAAAAACCACAGATCTAAAGCTCGATTTCCGAGTAAACATGTAAATTTCTAAATAAATATAATACTACAACTAAATCGTCTTCTGACTAATTTTGTGATCAAAATATTTGATACAGTATTTATGTCATCAATCCAATTTTGAATAATATCTGCATAATTTTTATTATTACTATAAAAAACTAACAAACAAGGGCAATTTATGACTGTGTGGTTTTAACAATAATTCATAAGTACGAAACTACTAGGAATTTATTGCTATCAGACGTCAAAATTTTCATGAAATCACGAAAGAATCAATTCAAAACTTCAAATCTCGACCACGCTTCCTACAGACGTCACTAGTACAATTAGCTAAACCTACCAGCGTTTCAAGAAATCGTCTCCAAACATTCATCCTCTTTCCAATTCATAACAACAAACCTTCGAATTCATACACCACAAAAATATATCCGGAAATTCCTAAAACCCTTTTCAAAAATTCCCTACACTATGTCAGATATACCGTATATCTATCGAGATATCTGTAGTTTTCGTTTCGGACGATAGTATTCGCATATGGAGTATATTGATAGTTAGTGTTATTTGTTCCTTTTTACATCGGACGTGAGTGATTAGTGGTGTTGGTGATTTTGTGTACGGTGGTTATTGACTAATCGAGTAGATATTGTGTTTGTGTGATTTAGTTGTGTGTTGTATTACACTGGGATTTTATGTTTGGATAGTAATGTTGGGACTTTAGTGGTGTGATAAGTTGTTTGTATTTGATGATTGATCGTTTACAGGTGTTTGCAGTGAGCTTGCTTTCGACATACTTTTCTTCGCGTGTTCGACACTGCATAGATAACTTGTCCCTTTATAGATTGGTGGATGTGTCTCAAAATGAGAAAAAATATTTTTGCGTATGTATGTATGAGAATAGATGATTGTGTTTGTTGGATTGCCTGAACGATGTGCATGAAGTTTGGTTGTTTGTGGAAATTTGTTGACCATGGGTGGTCATATGGACGTGTCCATAATCTAATACCCTCAGTAGACATTCTGCGGGATTCGCTGATGGACTAAATGAATAAGTTGACCGTTGAGTCGATAGACATTGTCATTCTCGACGGATACGGTACACGATTATATTTGTATGACTGGAGGATGTTTCGTGTTGATGACGAGTTGTCAGTTGGAATTGAAGTTTCTTATATATATATATATATATATATATATATATATATATATATGCTTGATTATTTAGTTTTTTTTTCTGACGGGAATTGAAGAGTTCTGAATGTGTGTGAATGTTTGCCGAGTGTAAGTGAGCACACTCCGGAGGTCGAGATAGTAATTTATCTTTGTCCAAACTGGGTAGTGCAACATCGAGTATTCCACTGTCACATCTATGTCGGTGGTGTCCATTGATTTACAAATAAATTTGTTGTATTGGTTTGTTGAATTTGTTGTGTTTAGTCTTATGAATATGGTGTTAAAATATTTGATGTTGTGCTTTGTGGAGTGTATATGGATGTGCCTGAGTGGTTTTGTGTAGTTGATTGTTTGGTATTGGTGAGCACACTCCGGAAGTGGAGATAGTAATTTATCTTTGTCCAAACTGGGTAGTGCAACATCGAGTATTCCACTGTCGCTTATCTGTTAGTGGTGTCCATTCATCGAATATCACATTTGTTGTGTTTGTGTATGTTATGTTGAATTTTTGTGTAAAATGTGCAAGTAGTAATTGGAGTGAGGTTGCCTAATGTGGATGGCTTGTAGGGTGCGTGTATGGGAGAGAGTGAGCGATGGCGGATGATGAAGATGGTATTTGTGTTTGACGTTGATTTGTTTGTACTGTGTATCACAGGAGTGTTAATCTTTCAGAGATGTGTGGTGATTGTTGTTTGTGGACAACGTGAATTGTGGTTGAGTGTTTTGTTTCGCTTAATAATAGTTGGGTTGAAGAAACTGTTTATTTTTCTGAGGTGGTGTGTCGCGAACGCCAAAGGGTTAGCTGGTCGTTTAGTTAATTGTTGTTCTGTGAACAGAGGAGTGTAGTGTGAATGTTTTGTGGAGAGACGTCTGACTAATATGTGTTGTTGATTTCTTCATGTGTAGATGCGGAGCTAAATAATGTAGTGATTATTGGAGAGTGTTGTTGTCGTGTGTGTGTGTGTGTGTATGCATGTATGTCAGTGATATTGGTGATGTTAGTTGTGCAGATGCGTCATTTTGTCTTGTGAAATGCTTGTGTAACATTGACTGGTTGTGTTCTGTAGTTAAGATGTGGGAGTGTGAGTGGGGAATAGGATGACCGTGGTGATGAGAGTATTTCTGAATAGTGTGTAGACAGTGTTAGTTGTGGTAGATGTCCATCGAGATATCTGTAGTTTTCGTTTCGGACGATAGTATTCGCATATGGAGTATATTGATAGTTAGTGTTATTTGTTCCTTTTTACATCGGACGTGAGTGATTAGTGGTGTTGGTGATTTTGTGTACGGTGGTTATTGACTAATCGAGTAGATATTGTGTTTGTGTGATTTAGTTGTGTGTTGTATTACACTGGGATTTTATGTTTGGATAGTAATGTTGGGACTTTAGTGGTGTGATAAGTTGTTTGTATTTGATGATTGATCGTTTACAGGTGTTTGCAGTGAGCTTGCTTTCGACATACTTTTCTTCGCGTGTTCGACACTGCATAGATAACTTGTCCCTTTATAGATTGGTGGATGTGTCTCAAAATGAGAAAAAATATTTTTGCGTATGTATGTATGAGAATAGATGATTGTGTTTGTTGGATTGCCTGAACGATGTGCATGAAGTTTGGTTGTTTGTGGAAATTTGTTGACCATGGGTGGTCATATGGACGTGTCCATAATCTAATACCCTCAGTAGACATTCTGCGGGATTCGCTGATGGACTAAATGAATAAGTTGACCGTTGAGTCGATAGACATTGTCATTCTCGACGGATACGGTACACGATTATATTTGTATGACTGGAGGATGTTTCGTGTTGATGACGAGTTGTCAGTTGGAATTGAAGTTTCTTAAATATATATATATATATATATATATATATATATATATATATGCTTGATTATTTAGTTTTTTTTTCTGACGGGAATTGAAGAGTTCTGAATGTGTGTGAATGTTTGCCGAGTGTAAGTGAGCACACTCCGGAGGTCGAGATAGTAATTTATCTTTGTCCAAACTGGGTAGTGCAACATCGAGTATTCCACTGTCACATCTATGTCGGTGGTGTCCATTGATTTACAAATAAATTTGTTGTATTGGTTTGTTGAATTTGTTGTGTTTAGTCTTATGAATATGGTGTTAAAATATTTGATGTTGTGCTTTGTGGAGTGTATATGGATGTGCCTGAGTGGTTTTGTGTAGTTGATTGTTTGGTATTGGTGAGCACACTCCGGAAGTGGAGATAGTAATTTATCTTTGTCCAAACTGGGTAGTGCAACATCGAGTATTCCACTGTCGCTTATCTGTTAGTGGTGTCCATTCATCGAATATCACATTTGTTGTGTTTGTGTATGTTATGTTGAATTTTTGTGTAAAATGTGCAAGTAGTAATTGGAGTGAGGTTGCCTAATGTGGATGGCTTGTAGGGTGCGTGTATGGGAGAGAGTGAGCGATGGCGGATGATGAAGATGGTATTTGTGTTTGACGTTGATTTGTTTGTACTGTGTATCACAGGAGTGTTAATCTTTCAGAGATGTGTGGTGATTGTTGTTTGTGGACAACGTGAATTGTGGTTGAGTGTTTTGTTTCGCTTAATAATAGTTGGGTTGAAGAAACTGTTTATTTTTCTGAGGTGGTGTGTCGCGAACGCCAAAGGGTTAGCTGGTCGTTTAGTTAATTGTTGTTCTGTGAACAGAGGAGTGTAGTGTGAATGTTTTGTGGAGAGACGTCTGACTAATATGTGTTGTTGATTTCTTCATGTGTAGATGCGGAGCTAAATAATGTAGTGATTATTGGAGAGTGTTGTTGTCGTGTGTGTGTGTGTGTGTATGCATGTATGTCAGTGATATTGGTGATGTTAGTTGTGCAGATGCGTCATTTTGTCTTGTGAAATGCTTGTGTAACATTGACTGGTTGTGTTCTGTAGTTAAGATGTGGGAGTGTGAGTGGGGAATAGGATGACCGTGGTGATGAGAGTATTTCTGAATAGTGTGTAGACAGTGTTAGTTGTGGTAGATGTCCATCGAGATATCTGTAGTTTTCGTTTCGGACGATAGTATTCGCATATGGAGTATATTGATAGTTAGTGTTATTTGTTCCTTTTTACATCGGACGTGAGTGATTAGTGGTGTTGGTGATTTTGTGTACGGTGGTTATTGACTAATCGAGTAGATATTGTGTTTGTGTGATTTAGTTGTGTGTTGTATTACACTGGGATTTTATGTTTGGATAGTAATGTTGGGACTTTAGTGGTGTGATAAGTTGTTTGTATTTGATGATTGATCGTTTACAGGTGTTTGCAGTGAGCTTGCTTTCGACATACTTTTCTTCGCGTGTTCGACACTGCATAGATAACTTGTCCCTTTATAGATTGGTGGATGTGTCTCAAAATGAGAAAAAATATTTTTGCGTATGTATGTATGAGAATAGATGATTGTGTTTGTTGGATTGCCTGAACGATGTGCATGAAGTTTGGTTGTTTGTGGAAATTTGTTGACCATGGGTGGTCATATGGACGTGTCCATAATCTAATACCCTCAGTAGACATTCTGCGGGATTCGCTGATGGACTAAATGAATAAGTTGACCGTTGAGTCGATAGACATTGTCATTCTCGACGGATACGGTACACGATTATATTTGTATGACTGGAGGATGTTTCGTGTTGATGACGAGTTGTCAGTTGGAATTGAAGTTTCTTAAATATATATATATATATATATATATATATATATGCTTGATTATTTAGTTTTTTTTTCTGACGGGAATTGAAGAGTTCTGAATGTGTGTGAATGTTTGCCGAGTGTAAGTGAGCACACTCCGGAGGTCGAGATAGTAATTTATCTTTGTCCAAACTGGGTAGTGC